AGGCCAAGCAACGGGTTCTAGGGGAATGTGGTGAAGGGGGCACCAGTGGCAGCCTCAATACAAGCATACTGCTCGTGTCTAGGAAACGTGGTGGTGGCGCCGAGGTCTTGAAGATAGCCGACACCAACCAGGTTCCTGGAGAACGAGGGGATGTGCAGACCTATAAGAGAGCCTGAGGGAACCGTCGGACAGGGAAGTGTGGTGGAGCTACGTGCAACTACCGGACCAGAGGAGGGGTCGGCAAGGGAGATTGCTGCTGGTGCTGAAAGCGGCGTGAGAGTGACGGTCACGAAAGAAGCAGGCGGACGCACCAGAGTCCAGCGTGAAGCAGAGCGCGGCAGTAGCGTCAGCCAATGGGGGCACTAGCGTGGAGCCAAGGCTAAACAAGTTAGGAGGTCCTTCGCGTGATCAGCAGGGGAGCCTAAACTACACACAGCAGACACACCTAGGGTAGGCAACACAGGGTAATAAGGTCCAATAACACTAGAATCATCAACATGCATGGCATGCAAAGCAGAGCGGATCTTATCCATATCCATCTCAGAGACCGGCACATGGCGTCGTACCAGGCTGTGGCAGTCCGGGAGGGCTGGCACAGGCTCGAAGCTAAGACGGAAAAGGTCGTCGAGGCGGCGGTAGCAGCGGGCGGCGGTGTGACTGGGACGGTCACACACGGTGCCACGAAGGGAACCAATCTGAAGCTGGTACTGGCTACTCACCGAACTGGAGCTGCCACCCGACGTCAAGCTGCAAGGGACGCCTCCAAGGCCACCACCACCGAAGTCGCCTGGTCACCACGCCGGCGGGGGCCCCACTGCTGCTGCTGCTGCAGCTACTGTTGCTGCCTCAGCTGCTGCTGCTCCTGCTGCTGCTCTGGGGCGTCAGCACCCACCCCCTCGTCTGCACTCCCAGCGCTCCCACCACTACCACCTCCCCCGCCACCACCCCCACCCCCAGCACCCTTCCCTCCCTTATGCCCCCCTCTGGGGTGATAGGGGGCTCTACCCTGACGAGGCTGCGCTAAGGCCGCCGCGGCGATGTCAGAGTAAGTGCACTGGGAGGGAGCACCACCCTGGAAGATAGGGACCACCGCAGTACCGCTAGACTGAGCGATAGTGCGCTAACAAGTCTCTATCGCCGAGAGGGTGGCGAAAAAGTTGCTAAGGATGAGGTCAGCGAGGTGGAGACTAAGGAAGGTGTCACGGGCAGTGGCTAGGCGGTCAGGGAGGCACGTGGCTAGGAAGTACAGTGAGCTGAGCCTGAGTGCTAGCAGTGCAGTAGCTAGTCTCGAGAGTGCGCAGGTGAGTGGCAAGATCAGCGACAGCGGGGAATGCCTCGAGGTCAGAGAAGAGAAGGGGCAGGAGGAGACGACTAGCAGAGGTGGAGGAGGGAGTGGAATAGCGAACAATGAGAGCATCTAGGTATTCCTTGGCCATCTCTAGGGCCTGAAAGCGGGGACGCTTGGACAGTGGGAGAGCGTGAATGATAGCTAGATGCGCAGTGGCATCGCGCGACTCCCGGAGAGAGCGGGCGAGCTCAGCAGCTGTGAAAGTTGCACGCTCAGCAGGCATGGGAGCGTCAGCAAGGGCAGCAGGCTTGGGAGGGCAGGGCAGCTTACCTTCGACATGGACGGTCAGGGACTGGCCATCCTGGCTCTGACCCTTCATCTGGTGGTGCAGGTCAACGAGCCACGCCTCGAAATCCACCGCATGACCCTCTGTGTCCAGGCGGAGAATGGCGTCCTCCATCACGCACAGCTGCAGCAGTTGTAGAACTCAGGACGAGGAGGAGCAGGGAGCAGGCGGGTGTGGTGGAGTGCGGTGGAGAGCGGTGGAAAGTGGTGGAGTCCGGTGGAGTGCGATGGAGGGCAGTGGAGTGCGTGGAAGATGCGGGAGAGCAAACGGCCGGCAAGGGCGCCGGCACAGAGGAGACACCAGGGCCAGCGGCGAGCTGGGGCCGGTAGCGAGCAAGGGTCCGGCGTGGCTAGCAGGGGCCAGTGTGGCAAGCCGTGGCCGACGCGGCGAGCTGGGTCGGCACGGCGAGTTGGAGCCGACGCAGCAAGCTGGGGCAGCACGACGAGCTGGGGCCGATGCGACGAGCTGGGGCGGCGCGGTGAGATGGGGCCGACGCGACGAGCTGGGGCCGACGTGGCGAGTTGGGGCCGGCGTGGCGAGCTGGAGCGGCGCGACGAGCTGGGGCCGACGCGGCGAGCTGGGGCCGACGCGGCGAGCTGGGGCCGACGCGGGGGCCGACGTGGCGAGCTGGGGCCGGCACAGCTAGCAGGGGCCGACGCGGCGAACTGGGGCCGGCGCGGTGAGAGGGGGCCGACACGTTGAGCTGGGGCCAGCGTGGCTAGGAGAGCCCAGCGCGACGAGGAGGGGCCGACGGCGAGCTAGGGCCGACGCGGCGAGCAGGGGCCTGCGCGGCGAGCTAGGGTCTGCGGTAGTCTAGGGCCAGCGCAGCGCGGCGGGCTTGGGGTCAGCGCGACGCGGCGAGCTAGGGGCCAGCGCGGCGTAGCGAGCTTGAGCTGACGCGGCGAGGAGAGGGCCAGCGCGGCGAGCTAGGGCCAGCGCAGCGCGGCAGGCTAGGGCAGACATGGTGGGCTAGGGCAGGAGCGCACTATGGGCGGGGTGCGCTAAGGGGCGAGGCGCTCTAAGGCGGAGAGCTCTATGGTAGGCTAGGGTGGAAGCGTGGGTGGGTGGGACCTACCTAGCGTGATACCGTGTCTGGATAACGAAGTGAACTCTAGAAAGAGGATATAGGGTGATATAAGGGTTTGGTGTCGTACTCTCTAAGAGCATGAACCTGCCTAGCCTATTGTCAAACAAACATATAGTTTAGTCTACACATATCTAAGTTCGGCATAGCCTAGCTAGGTCAGTTCTTAGAGGGGACAACATTCTTGTACTTGTATCTCCCATCCCCTCTTCCTAGTCACACTTTTTCCCACTACTCTAAAATGGTATTGAGCTAGGTTTTTTTCTCCTTTTTTTCTTTTTTTTTTTCCCCCGCCGTTCCTCACGCTTCCGCCAATACTATAGCTTCTTTTTTTTCGCGCATGTGAACCTCTCAGTTTCACGCACCTCCTGCTCCCCAATTTCGCACTCCGTGGCCTCGACCCCCCCCCCTTAGCGTTCGCGCTGTTTTCGTACGGCAGCCAGCCAGCATGCTAGCCCGCTAGCCAGCACGCTAGCCAACGCGCCAGCCAGCTAGCCAGCACGTTTGCCAGCTAGCTCGTCAGCCGCATTAGCCCACGCGCTGCCAGCAGTGCTAGCCAGCTCGCCGCTAGCTGCGTCCGCCAGCTCACCGCCAGCAATTGCTGCCAGCTACTCGCCAGCAGCGCCTGCCAGCTTGTCACTGGCTAACTAGCCATTGCGCCAGCCACTGCCACTGCAGCCACGGACAGTCGCCGCCACTGCAGCCACAGACAGCCGTCGCCACTGCAGCCCCTGCTGCTGCCGCTGCTGCCTGTGCCACTGCCGCTGCTGCCTGTGCCACAGCCGCTGCTGCCCACTACTGCTGCAGCTGCCACAGCAGCCACTACCACTGCCACTCAACCGCTGCAGCCACTACCACTGCCGCAGCCGCCGCTGCCACTGCAGCCACTGCTAATAACGCAGTCGCTGCTTCCGTGGCAGCCACTGCCGCTGCCATTGCAGCCACTGCCACAGCAGCCACTGCCGCAGCCGCCACTGCTGCCTCTCCCACTGTCACTGCTGCCACTGCCCGCACTGCTGCCGCTGCCACCGCTGCCCTTACAGCCGCCACTGCCACAGCTGCCCTTGTAGCCGCTGCTGCTGCCGCTGCCCTTGCAGCCGCCACTGCCGCCACTGCCCGCTGCAGCTGCTGCTGCCGCTCTTGCAGCCGCCACTGCCGCTGCTGCCGCCGTCGCTCTCTCGCTGCCACCACTGCCGCTGCCGCCACTGCCGCTGCAGCCGCCTCTGCCACCGCTTCCGCCGCTCTTGCAGTTGCAGCGGCACCTCCTGCGGCCGCCGCTCCTACTGCAGCCGCCACTTAAGCTACACTTGCCGCCAGCAGCCACTGCCACTACCACTGCTGCTGCCGCCACTCCCGCGGCTAGCCTGAAGCCACAAAGCTGCCGCCGCCAGCCAGCTTGCTGCTGGCTCGCCGCCCCCGGCCAGCTCGCCGATGGCCCGCCACCGTCGCCACCCTGACGCCAGCTAGCAGCCGCCGCTACCATCGGCTCCCGGTGCAGCACCTGTTCCTGCTGCCCCTGTAGCAGCTGCCGCCACTGTCCCTGCCTCTGCCGCCTCCATCTTCACAGCTGTAGCTGCCACCACAGCCGCTAGCATGGCGTCACCCAGCGTCTTCGTTCTGCGCTTGGATGGGGAGGGGCGGGCGGTCGGTTTCACCGCCTGGCAGGAGGTGGTTCTCCTGCAGAACACGAGTCAGTGCGTCGACGACGAGTCCCTGGACGCTCACCTCACTGGTGAGCTCCCTTCTGTCCCCTGCCCGGATGCTCTTGCTGCTGAAACGACATCTGCGTAGCTGGCTGCGCACGCTACTGCTCGTTCTGCCTACTCTGTCTAGGCGTCTCGTGACGCCACGGCTCGTGTCGCCATCCACAGCTGCCTGCCGGATGACAAGCACTCCCACTTTGTGGATGATGTGTCAGCTCGCGCCCTCTGGCTGGATATCCTTGCTAGGTACTCCACCCCGCCGTGGGCCACTCTTAGTCGTCTCCTCCTCCCTTTCTTCCACCCTAACCTGACCTCCTTCACCACTGTAGCAGACTTAGTCGTGATAAATGTGTAGTGTTCTGTGGTGTGATTTGCTCTAGCTGGCTGTGGGCTATTGGGATTTGGGCAAAAGAATTGGGTTGGTTGGCTAGGTTTGATCTCGTTACCTTTCCAACCCATACTACCCCATACCCACTACAACATCTTTGATGTTGCAACTGTGGCACTTGGAAGCGTTAGGGTTTGGTTCAGGGCGAGGGTTGGTGTTGTTTGACAATCAAATACTCCAACTTTTCCAGATCGAACTGCTTCCCTTCTCGTTTTTACTAGGTGATTCATGGCTGCCTAGCCAAATTACCAGAAGACCCCCTCACACTGATTTCGTCATAATCGGCGGCTCAGATCTTGGTTATGAACGTGCTTTACCATTCTGGAAAGTAGAGATTAAGACCTTTCCAACGCGTATAAGCTCATTTCTAGAAGTTACCTGAGCAGCACGCAATGATTCGTTGAGGTCGTTAGACTTAATCTCTAATTAGTTCTCTCCAGATTTGCACGATTTCCATCAGTGGTATCAGAGCCACGGTTAGAGGACGTTCTTTCCTCCATTGGAAGAGATCTAGAGAGGCTTGAAGTGCTCCAGATCTAGGGTTTGACATGGCCCAAAAGTTGGATGGCCCTCCTAGGTTTACCGGCTCGGACTTTTCGCTATGGAGGTTTCAGTTCACACTATGGCTAGGTATTAAGGACCTATAAAGTGTGTTGGATGGATCGGAGAAGCGACCACGAGCTGACTCTGGGGAGGCGTCTACTGGAGCAACCAGCCAAGTGGGATCCGGAGCTGGGGGAGCGTCGTTGAGTGGGGTGAAGGAAGGAGGAACTGCTGCAACCCGAACCGGAAGGTCGCAACCAAGTAGCGAGGAGTTGCTCAAAGCTCAAGAAGCATGGGATCGGAAGGATCGCCAGGCTTTTCAGTACCTGTGTTGGGCTTTGGAGGGGCAACTTGAGCTTCTTAAGATGCTGATTGACCTGAAGGGGAAGGAAGGTGCAGCGGCTGCAGCTTGGAAAAGAGTACAAGATAGGCACTTGCAGAAAGGGCTTCTAAGCGTGCTTACTTGGCGGAAGCGGTTTTACACCATGGAGCGGAACTATGGGGAGGGGGAGACCATGGTTCAGTATCTCCAGAGGGTGGATGAGAATGTGCAGGCTTTGGAGGAGCTGGATTACACGGTAGATGAGAAGGAGATCATCTATACTGCGCTCCAAGGGTTGGATCAAGCGGCTAATGAGGCATTACTACAGTACCTTCACCTCGAGCAACAAAAATGGACCAAGGTGTGGATTTGGGAGGTTCTAATTTCTGATGAGGCTCGCAAGGTTGATGCTGGAAGAGGTCTAGAAGGAGGCATGGGTGCAGCAGATAAAGCTTCCTTCAGGAAAGGCTATCAACAGCAAGGAGGTGGGGGGAAGAAGAAAGAGTTGGACAAATGCCTTGTGCCCGGATGCAACAAAAAACACTCTTGGAAGAGTTGCTGGAGTAGGCCTGAGGGATGGAAGCCTCACGGCTACTCTGGAGAGGCCCCACCAGTGACCAAACCTGATTGGGTGGAGAAAAGGATGAAGAAGGGGCTCTGGAATAAGAAGGGCAGCAAGGGAGCAACGGCCGCAGCTGCTAAGGATGAGAAGGGGAAGGGCCAAGACGACTCCTCCGATGATGGTTTCTCGTTTCTCATGCTAGGGCAGGATGCAGCTCTCGCTGGTCGTGCATTGGCTGATCCCAACTTCCTGGTTCTAGACTCTGGAGCAACATCTGGGATGCTTCCTCGCCGTGATCTCTTCACCTCCTACCATCCTCTCCCACCAAGTTCGAGGAACGTGATTGTTGGGAGCGGAGATTTGCTGCAAGCAATTGGCATCGGCACGATCACCATTAAGGGGAAGGAGGGGGAGCTAGTGGGTGTGAAGGGGGTCCTTCACGTCCCTGGTTTGGCTGCAAACCTCCTTTTATGCTCGTAGCTGGCTAAACAGGGATACATCTGCACTTTCACGGAGGGAGGGTGTACTGTTAGAAAGGGTGACGCTGTGGTGATGGAGGCAAAGCTGGACAAGGGTTCATACCTTGTTCCAGCTTGTGTGCCTAATTGTTACAAGGCACATATGGTTTTTTCTGAGGAAGCCGCTTGTAGCACTCGCTGGAGGCAGGTGGAAACGGTGTCACCTGAGTTGCTACACCTTCGCATGGGGCACGCGGGGAAGCAGCAACTGCTGGAGTGTGTGAAGAAGGGGGAGCTGAAGGGGGTGGAGGTCAAGAAAGGAGCTGGGCAGCAGAGCAAATGTCCCGACTGCACGTCTAGAAAGCTGCCTAGAACCTCATTCCCTATCTCCTCTGATCATGCCTCGACTCCCCTTGAGCTGGTGCACACGGATGTGTGTGGACCGATGCAAACTCCTGACCGGGAAAGGGGCAGCAGGTACTTTGTCACCTTTCTTGATGACTTCAGTCGACTTAGCTGGGTCACCTTGGTGAAGACCAAGGATGAGGTGGCAAAGGTGTTTAAGCGGTGGATACGCTATGTGGAGAGGGAATCAGGGGCCAAGGTAAAGGTGTTAAGGTCAGATCGGGGTGGAGAGTACCTTGGGAAAGAACTTCAAACCTTCTTGGAAGAAAAGGGTATTACCCACCAGCTCTCTGTACCTTACACGCCGCAGCAAAATGGGGCAGCGGAGCGGCTTAACAGGACCTTGACCGATTTGGCTCGGGCCATCCTTTCCCATGCCGAGCTTGATAACACTTGGTGGGGGGCAGCAGTGCAGTATGCCAACTGGGTGAAGAACAGGATGGGCAGCAAGGGGCTTGGAGGCAAGAGCCCATACTCCTTATGGACAGGGAAGGTGCCGAATGTTTTCATGGCACGAGTGTGGGGGTGCATGGCACAGTATAAGGTACCTGACCAGCAAAGAAGGAAGCTAGATCCTAAGGCACAGTGGGGGATCTTCCTTGGGGTTTCTGAGAGGAGCAAGGCTTGGGTGCTGTGGAGTGTAGCTGACCAGCGTGTGATGGAGAGCCGTGATGTGGTTTTCCATGAGGGGCTGAATTTTAAGGGGTGGAAGGAGCATGGTACAAGCCAAAGTGGGACTTCCATTCAAGACCCTCATACGGCTTCTATCTTTGAGGGGGCATGGGAGGACCCTGGAGATGAAGGGGAGGAGCAGCAGGAGGAGCCAGAACCAGCTGATCCTAACCATGAGGAGTCCCGAGAGACAGATTCTACCGCTCAGCCAGCCACGCAGGCCGATGCGCGTGATGATCAGCCGGAGCAGCATGTGCCTTCAACTCCATCGAGAAGCAGTTGGCAGCAGTTGTTGGACCAGCAGCTGTCCAAGACTCCGAGGACTCCAATGAAGAGGGTGACTTGGGAGGAGAAGCTGCGGAGGCTGGAAGAAGGAGAGGCAACACCTCTGCGACGCAGTGCTCGAATTTCCCAGCCACCTGAAAGGTTTACCCCGGGGCACATTGCACGCATGCATGATCATCTTGTGTCGGATTTGGATGATTGCATGCTTGTGGACATGCATGGGCATGAGTATGCTCTTGATGTGTGTCTAATGGGTCAGGTGCATGAGCCTAGGTCAGTCAACGAGGCGCTGAACCGTCCAGAATGGGTTGAGTCCATGCATGAGGAGCTTGAGTCTCACAAGGTAAATGGATCATTTGAGCTGGTTGATCCAGCAGTGGTACCACCTGGTTTGGAGGTCCTCAGGTGTCAATGGGTTTAGAAATACAAGCATAACCCTGATGGTACTGTTGAGAGGCCTAAGTCCAGATTGGTGGTGATGGGAAACACGCAGAAATTGGGAGTACACTATGAAGAAGTGTACTCTCCAGTTGGGAAGCATGCGACCTTGAGAGGTATGCTTGGAATTTCAGCTGCTTTGGGGCTTGATATCCATCATATGGATGTCAAGACAGCCTTCCTCCATGGGGATTTGGAGGAAGAGCTTTACATGCGGCAGCCCCCTGGTTTTGATGATGGGTCTCACCGAGTGTGTCGCCTCAAAAAGTCCATTTATGGGCTAAAGCAAGCCCCACGACAGTGGTACCTAAAATTTGATGAGGCTCTCATGGATTTTGGGTTTGAGAGATATGAGTGTGACCCTGCCTTGTACCACTTTGTGAGAGATGAGGAGCGGATCTCCTTATTCCTCTATGTGGATGACCTTTTGCTCCTATGCTCTAGCAAGGCTTTGCTAGATCGAGTGAAAGAGTTCTTGTCCTCGCGTTTTCGCATGAAGGACTTGGGGGAGGTGAAGTACTACTTGGGAATGCAAATTGAACGTGATGAGAGTGGTATCTTGATTCATCAAGAGAGGTACATTCTTAACATGCTTCAGTCCTTTGGTCTCTCAGAGGCCAACCCCGTGCGTACTCCTCTCCCAACAGGCTTTGATGTGCATGCCTATGAGGATGAACCCTTGCTGCGAGATGAGCTGGTCAAGCTCTACCAAAGCATTGTGGGATCCCTCATGTATGCTTGTACTACCACACAGCCACAGATTGCCTTTGCAGTCTCACAGCTATCTAAGGTCGCCTCTTGTCCTAAAATGTTTCACTTGCAGGCCGCTAAGAGAGTGCTGAGGTACCTGAAAGGTGGTGTCAACTCAGGTATCTTCTTCCAAACACAGCCCCAGTCTCAGGTCCAGCTAGTTGGCTTCAGTGATGCTGACTATGCTGGAGATTCCGCAAGTCGCAGGAGCCACAGTGGGTATGTGTTCTGTCTGAATGGGGCAGCTATCTCTTGGCAGAGCAAGAGGCAGCCCGTGGTAGCACTCTCTACCACTGAGAGTGAGTATATAAGTCTGTGTCAGTGCATTCAGGAGGGTGTCTGGCTGAGGCGTTTGTTTGGGGAGTTTGGCCATGATCATGCTGGTGGTGTGCCTGTGTTTGTGGATAATCAGTCTGCCATTGCCCTTGCACAGAATGCATGCTTGCATGGCCGCACCAAACACATGCAGGTCCGGTGGCATTTCATTCGGGAGATGGTAGCTGCGGGTGAGGTGATTTTGCAGTGGTGCCCTACCAACCGTCAGGCTGCTGATATTCTTACCAAGTCTCTTCCATTTGAGCGTCATGGTGTGTGCATGACCTTGCTCGGGATGCAGCCCCATGATGACAGAGTTCCCGCAGCAGATGCCGGCGTCTTGGTGCTCCTCTCCTTGGCGGACTCCATGCTCTGGGTGGCCCCAACCCATGGGCAAGGGGGAGTGGTGTGAAGGCATTTGCCCTATGGTGTTGAGCCACACCCAGCACGAGCAAGGGGGAGTGATAAATGTGTAGTGTTCTGTGGTGTGATTTGCTCTAGCTGGCTGTGGGCTATTGGGATTTGGGCAAAAGAATTGGGTTGGTTGGCTAGGTTTGATCTCGTTACCTTTCCAACCCATACTACCCCATACCCACCACAACATCTTTGATGTTGCAGCTGTGGCACTTGGGAGTGTTAGGGTTTGGTTCAGGGCGAGGGTTGGTGTTGTTTGACAATCAAATACTCCAACTTTTCCAGATCGAACTGCTTCCCTTCTCGTTTTTACTAGGTGATTCATGGCTGCCTAGCCAAATTACCAGAAGACCCCCTCACACTGATTTCATCATAATCGGCGGCTCAGATCTTGGTTATGAACGTGCTTTACCATTCTGGAAAGTAGAGATTAAGACCTTTCCAACGCGTATAAGCTCATTTCTAGAAGTTACCTGAGCAGCACGCAATGATTCGTTGAGGTCGTCAGACTTAATCTCTAATTAGTTCTCTCCAGATTTGCACGATTTCCATCAAGTCGAGCACCTGAGCTCCCTCGAGGCCCGCTGGCGTGCGGCCTGCACTGAGGCCCAGCTAGAGCTCGCCCCGCCCCCCCTCTTTGCCACTATCTACTTCCTTGTCACCCGCCTCCCTGACCACCTTGCCCCTGCCCGCGACGTACTCCTCGCTCGTCACCCCTCTGAGCTCACCTTTCATCTCTTTTCTACTTCCCTGACTGAGGTAGAGGACCGCCTCCGCGCCATCACTGGTTCCACTGGCACACCAGCAGTCCCAATCTTTTAGGGCAGTGCTCCCTCCCTGGTGACTATCCCTCTTGCCTCCACCTATGTAGCCGAGACTGCAGCGGCTGCCTCTGCCCCAGGACTCTCCTCTGGCGGCAAGGGCAAGGGCAAGGGGGGCAAGGCTCTCAAGGGGTCAGCAGCAGCGGGTGGAGGGGGTGCGGGTACGGACGCAGAGGGTGGTCAGTCGGAGTTGGGGACTGAACAGCAGCAGCAGCAGCAGCCGTAGCTGTAGTGGGGGCTGGCGGGCCCTGGGGGTGGTGTTCGTGGTGGAGGCCATGGGGGTTGGGGCCCAGGGTAGTTGGTGCCCTGAGGGTTGTGTGGTTCCTCTGTGAGCCATGGTGCTGGTGGTTCTGGAGGCACCGTGACCTGCACGTACCAGCTGCTCACCGGCCCGCAGGCGGGCCAGGTGTGCAGGCGCACGGGACACACCGCCGCTCGCTGCTTTCCCCGCCTGGACGACCTCTACCGTCGTCACTTCGACCCGCTGGCCTGTCTTGCTTTGTCATGGGGTTCCAATCTTTGATATGGATACTGTATGCATTGTATTTTAATGCTTCTAGTGTTGCTGGTACTTATTATCCTGCTGTTGGTAGTTTAGGAGCCACTGTTGTGTGTACTCTAGGATCCCCAATTGTGTCAGGCGTAGGATCTGTTAGAGCTTCGTCACTGGGCCCCGCCATGTTGGCCCTCTCCTTTGTCCTTGACTCTGGCACATCTCGTTGCTTCTTTCGTGACAGTACTGCTCTCATCCACTTTCTGCGCCTGTCCGCATCGCACTAGCAGACTCCTCCGCCACAGCTGTTGCATGTAGCACTAGTACTCTGCCTTGTCCAGCTGTCCCTACCGGCTCCCTCACTGGTTTGCACATCCCCTCGTTTGCCAGGAACCTAGTGGGTGTTGGTCACCTTCAGAACCGAGGCGTTACCACTACGTTCCCTGGCTGAGAGAGACTAGCCGCTTGCACAGACACAGCCACCGGTCGCCACTTAGCCACTTTTGAGCGTGACCCAGGGTCAGGTCTCCTTATGCTACACACTGATTCCCCACCGACAATTGCATCTGCCGAGGTCGCCGCATCCTGCTCCTATCGCTCACTAGCCTACTCGACCCTTCTGTGGCACCATCGCTTAGGTCACCCTCCACTCCCGCATCTTAGGCACATGTCCCAGCACAGTCTAGTCACTGGCCTCCCTGCGTCGCTCCTCGCCCTGCCTACGCCGGTAGCGCCCTTGTGCGCGTCCTGCATCGAGGGCCGACAGCGCGCCGCCCCTCATTCCTCCTTATAACCTCCTACCACAGTGTCGTTACACACACATCGCATGGACGTCTGGGGTCCTGACCCGGTCCATGGTCTTACTCGTGAGCGCTACTTTTTAGTCGTCGTTGATGACTTCTCGCTTTTCACCACAGTGTTCCCGTTGGAGCGGAAGGCTGACGTGCCTACTGTTCTCCACCCGTGGCTTCTTAATTTTTGCACCCACCACCGCTTGCCTGTGGGTTGCTTATACTCCGGCCGTGGTGGCGAGTTCGCCTCTGGCACTCTTTGACAGTTCTGACGTGCGGAGGGCATCTGCCAAACGTACACCCAACCATACTCCCCACAGCAGAATGGGGTCGCTGAGCGATGCATTGACCTAATCATGGAGGTAGCTCACACCTCCATGGTCCACGCCAGTGCATCCCATTTTCTGTGGCCGTTCGCTATACGCTACGCTGCTCACCAGCTTAACCTGTGGCCGCGCTCCCAGCGACCACAGGTTTCGCCGACCCTCCTGTGGACCGGGTCTCCTGGTTACGCGTCTGTGTTCCACGTCTTGGGCAGCCTTGCTCACCTCCGCGACACTGGCGTGGACAAGCTCTCAGCCCGCACCCTTCCTTGTGTCTTCCTGGGGTTTCCGCTTGACGCCCCTGCCTAGCTATTCTACCACCCGGCACACCACCGCTTCTACCGCTCTCATGACGTTACCTTCGACAAGACACTCCCCTATTACCGGCGCTTCCCACACCATAGTGCTCCTCTTCTCTTCCTCGTCCATGCCCCGCCTGCTGCACCCCTCCCGCCCCGCCCGGCCCAGTCCGGTGTCTCCCACGCCACTCAGTTCCTCTCGGTTGCGCCTGTGGGGGAGTCGGCTGACTCTAGGGGCCCAGCTGCTGGGGGCGCGCTTGTTGTCCCTGTGGCGTCTCCCCCAGCCTCGGTACCCTAGTCACCTCAGCCGCCTCCCCCCTTGCCTTAGCAGCAGCAGCCGCCGCCACAGCAGACTCAGCGGCCACAGCAGCAGCAGCAGCAGTAGCAGCAGCAGCAGCAGCAGCACCAGGGAGCAGTGGGCTCTGGGGGTGCTGGTTTTGGGGATGCTGGTGTTGGAGGTGTTGGTGTTGGGGGTCTTGGTTCTGGGGGTACGAGTTCAGGGGGTGCTGACTCAGGGGGTGCTGGTTCATTGGGTGCTGCGTCCGAGGGTGCTAGTCTTGGGGGTGCTGTTTCGGGGAGTGCCGGTGGTAGCCGAGGTGCCGATGGAGATCCTAGAGAGGACAGGGAGTAGCTGCAGCTGCAGCAGCAGCCGCAGCATCAGCAGCAGCAGTCGCGGCAGCAGGAGCAGCCGTAGCAGCAGGAGCAGCTGCAGTCTGCCCTTCATCTCCTTGGTCTTGCTCCAGGTTCCCCTGTCCGCCCGCCCGTTCCCCCTCCGGTGCGTGACCCTGTTTACGGCCCGATGTTCCATCCTCCGGACTCCTCTCCGGCTCGTTTTCCCCCGCGCTCTCCTCTATCCCCTGACTTGTCCCCCGTTCCCCCTCGTCCCTAGTCCCCAGTTCTTCCTCACTGGGTCAACCGCCCCTCTGGTGCTTGTCCTGTCTCTCCCTGTCGTAGTGTCCACCATATGGTCCTCCATTCTCATGCTTCTTCAATCCCCATACTTCCATTACCTCCTTCGTCGTCGTTCCCATAGTCCCCCCCTCCTCGCTTTAACGCTGCTCCCACTGCTCGTCCTACCCTCTTGCGCTTGCTTGAGTCGCTTGTCACTGACCCTACTGCTGCTCCTAAGTCTGTCTCTATGCTTGTCGCTGCTGTTGCTGACTTTGGTGCTAGCCACCGCTTTGGCTACGCTGCCACTCTAGTCTCTGGTATTGCTTGTCCTCCGTCCGTCGGGGGTGCAGCTGCCCTTGGCAATGACATGCTAGAGGACAAACGGTACGAGCTGGCCTACCTTACTGTTGCTGTTCCCCATCTCTACTCCATGCTTGTATCCCCAGATGGCGACCCGAACGCTCTCGATATCCCTGTTACGCGCTCTTACGCTGAGGCGGTGTCGGAGCCCTGGGCATCCCAGTGGATATAGGCCATGGAGGCGGAAATGGCATCCTACAGATCCACATGCACTTACGTTGACGCAATTCCCCCACCTAGGGCGAACTTAGTCGATGGCATGTGGATGTACAGGGTGAATTGCACACCTGGAGAGCCGCCGAAGTTCAAGGAGCATTACGTGGCTAGAGGCCTCAGTCCACGTGAGGGTGTGAACTTCTTCCAGACCTTCTCCACATGGTTGCGCAACGTGACTACGAGCTTCACTCACTCGACTTCTCCACAGCGTTCCTGCAGGATAGTCTGCACAAGCAGGTCTACCTCCGACACCCTCTGGGCTTCTCTGGGTCCTTCCCACCTGGGACTGAGTGGAGCCCCCGATGTCCTGTCTATAGCATTCGTCAGGCACCCCGTAAGTGGCATGTCACACTTCGCACCACTCTTGTTGAGCTGCAATTATTTCCGTCCTCTGCTGACCCCTCTCTTTGTTCGCACGGGTCAGACACCATTCTACATCTTAGTGTACGTAGACGATCTTATATTTGCTACTCCTGACAGAGTCGCACTTGCCTCAGTGAAGGTCGAGTTACTTAGGAGACACACTTGTACAGACTTGGGGGAGCTAAGGCACTATCTGAGCTTGGAGATCTCTCGTGACCATGACGCTCGCACGATCACACTCTCCCAGTCCCATATGGTGCAGCAGAACCTCCAAAGGTTCAGTCTCCAGTTCTCCTCAGCACAGCCCACCCCTCTACTTGTGGATCACAAGCTCTCTGCTCCTGTTCCGGCTGAGCCGGTCGAGGCTAGTGTCCATATGCAGCGCTGGTGGGGTGCCTCATGTACCTGATGACCTGCACTCGATGAGATCTAGCGTACCCTCTCAGTCTCCTAGCTCGCTTTGTTGCGACAGGTAGGCACTAACCAGTCCACTGGTCGGCTGCTAAGAGGGTACTACGGTATCTGGCGAGTACATCAGGACTGGGACTTGTGCTAGGACCACGGGAGCCAGTGGTGCTCATTGGAGACACAGACGCATCGTGGGCTGACGACGTGGAGATGCTCAGGTCATCTTAGGGCCACTATTTTAGTCTTGGTGCTGGTGCAATCTCATGGAGGTCCACCCAGTCATCGTCTATAGCTCAGTCCAGTTGTGAGGCAGATCTACGCTGGGGCCATGGCCCTTCAGGAGCTCCGCTGGCTGACGTTCTTGCTCAAAGACTTAGTTGAGCAACCTAGGTCTGCCCTGGTCCTGTTTGCTTACAACAGGGCTATGATCCTCCTGTGTCA